CCTGCACATTTGTCAAGAAAAAGGAGGATGGCTTCCTACCAAAAGCAGTCAGTGAGACATAGTGGCCTTCTAAATTAGGGGATGATTTATTTGGCAATGCCTGGAGAGGCTCTGTGTGAATAGTTACAAGATGGGATGTGCTCTTGGCACCTCCAGAAGAGGCCAGGGTCACTGTTTCAGAAGCCCTGCCTAGGACAAAGCCCACCCTCACAGAATGATCAGCTCCCAAACACCAAAGTGCCAAGATGGAGAGCACATGATGGAGAGTGTTTGAAAGAACAAATACCACATGCAGGCAGATAACAAAACTGCTTCTAATTATCATGATGATAGATACTATTATTCTTTAAATGAAGAACATAGGTTGAACTCACTAGAGCACCCAGGCCTATGGGGGACTTCCTGCTAAGTCCTGGCCCAGGGAGAAGGCAGGGTGGGCTGGCAAGGCAAAGTACAGGATCTTAAATCTTAAATGAACCAAGTCTCTTCAGGGTAGGCTCCTCCTGGTAAGGAGAGGCAGTGTGTGGGGCGGAGGACCTGTGAAAGGAAGCAGTGGGAGGTGACACAGGGGCTGGGTGATACCCACAGGGGTGGGATGGAGTGGATGGCAGAGCCCTGACTCATCAGAGGAGCCAGAGAGCCGACAGGCTGAGGGTGTGCTGAGGGTGTGTTGCCCCCCCTCCCCGGTGCAGCTCCTGGGAAGGGCAGGAAGGTCTGAGACCCCCAGTAGGATGGCAGCAGGGTGGCTGCTCCCAGCTGTGCAGTAGATGCTGGGATAAGACCCTGTCCTGGGGAGACACAGGCCAGGCAGCAGACAAGAAAGGCTCCTGTAGGGCTGGGTGTCTTGCGTGTGTTCAGCAGCCCTGGCCTGGACATGAAGTACTGGGCCACTCCATTTCTGATCTCCACCACCTTGAAGGCAGATGTCCCATGCGTGGGGTTCTGATTCCTTCTCTTGGGTTCGGGGACCTCCAAGGAGAGCAGTGTTTCTGACTTGTCTTTGTCTGCGTGGCAACTCCTGCGGATCTTCCTCTGGGTCTTCATGTCGCAAGGCCCCAGGCTGATCACAGGTAGGGGGCACCTGGGGAGGCTGGCTGGGTGCTCAAGGCCAATCACCTCCATTCTCAATAGGCTGCGCACAGGAAGATCCAGGTCCAGGGTGCGCCCCAGCAGGCTCCTCCAAGTGTGGGGAGCCCAGGGCAAAGGTGGCCTGCACAGGACCTGGTGGGTCAGCTCGTGGTCCCTCGTGGCCAGGAAGCCCCTGGCCTGGTGGTCCCTGGCGCAAGGGCGCCTGCAGCAGCAGTGTCTGTGGGCAGGACCGGTCCTCACAGCCTTGGGAGCAATGTGCGGAGGGCGGTGGAGGAAGCAGGAGCAGTAGCAGCAGCACAGCAGCATCTCTGCACAGCGCTCTGAGGCTGTGAGGCCCCTTCCTTCTTTCCTTTGTTTTTCTGTACTTGGAATTGAATCCAGGACCTTATACAAGCCAGGAAAGTGCTCTACAACTGAGCTACATCCCAGCCATATTTTTAAAAGTAAAACAATACGGTAAAATTTTTGTTTCTTTGGATACCTTTAGATAAAACAGTCAAATACATTTTCTATTCCTTTATATATTTCTAATTTTATATTTTGACTTAAAAATGAAAAATTTAATGAAGAGGCCTCGATTATTTTTTAAAGTACTGATATTTACCTGAAACCTTTTGTGGCTAATTATGGCACTAGAAATAGGTGTTTTGCGATTATGGTGTGAAGAAACCTAACCACACACACACACACACACACACACACACAACGAGCAACCTGGGCATGATAACACACACCCTGAGTCCCAGCCACTCACGAGACTGAGGTGGGAGGACAGTCTGAGCTCCTCTGAGACCAGGCTGGGCATGCAGAAAAGACCATGTGAAAAGAAAAAACCCACTGAACTACAGTGGCTCCAAAGGAACACAAAAACAAAATGGGCTTTGAAAAATGGACCTAAAATCTTGTAATTGGAACTGGAATATTTTTAAAACTTATAGATTAAGTGAAACGATATATGAGATTTACTTTTAATTATTCTAGCAGGTTTAAGGACAAGTTAGGGGGTGCTAATAAGATGGGAAACATAACTGGAACTATACAGAAAGTCGATAATTGCTGATCATGGGTGTGATTTGAGTGAGCATTCATTACTTTATTATTTCATCTTTTGCATATTTGAAAAATTTGTGATAAAAAAGAAATTAAAATTTAAAGCTTCTAAATATGCATTATTACACATCTAAAGTAACCTCTGTAACATGTCCAAAAAGAAAACAAACTCCAAAATAAGACTTTAAGTGACCTATAAAGTACTTTTGTTATTTTATTTATAGTCAAGTGAAAGCACCAGTAAGCACAGAAATACTTAAAAGTTGAAGGAAAGGCTATTATCGCCACCTACTGGACACTGTAATTGACTACTTGCTATAAAAAAATTAAGGAAATAAAAAAAAACCTATTTAATAGATCCTCCCATCCCGCCCCAACCATTTAGTTTTTTGTTTGTTTATTTTGTTTTGTTACCATGGTTGAACTCTGAACCTTGAGGTTGCAAGGCAGTCAGCAGAACCACTGGGCTAAATCTCCAGCCCAACCATTTAGTTTTTAACAAGATAGTAAATAATACTATCAAATTTGTTTCATTTATGTTTAGAAAGTACACTGGTAGCCTGGGAGGGTGGCACTTGCCTTTACCCTGGACCCTGAAAGGCTGACGCAGAGAGACTGGAATTTCAAACTCATCTTAGTGAGACCCTATCTCCAATAAATAAATTTAGAAGGTCTGGGGATATAGCTCAGCAGTCACACACACACACACACACACACACACACACTACCAATGATCACATGATTTCCTTATTTTATATGAAGTCTCATAGTTAAAGACCAGAAAGTCAGAAACTACTCCTGGTTCATAAATTCAATTCATATTTTTCATTTGTCTTACATTACAAATTTTGTATCTCTTTATAATTTGGTTAATGGTATAGAAAGTGATTCTCAACTCTGATGCTTCAGAATCACTTGTAGAATTTCAAAATGTAGCTGGCCCCAATGTTAGAGTTTTTAAAATTATAGCCAAAGATAAAAGAACCACTGATATATACCAAGGGACCTTGAACTGTGGCTCCCTGGACCAGAATTACCATTATATGATTAGAAAAGAAAATTTTTAAGATTCAGCCACACTCTGGGCAAAGTCCAGCAATTTTGTTTTGCACAAATTTGAATGATCTGGATGCAAATTAAAGTTTTTAAATCACTAGTATTTGCAATACAAACTTAAGTCTTTTTTAAAAAAATATGATTTAACTTGCTATTCTTTAAGAATAAAGAATTTCATTAAGAGTAATTACTGCAATTTTACTTTTCTAGAAGCATACCATTATAAATCCCCAACAGGGTTCTACTTAGACAACAGAAAAATTCTAATAAAGACATAGGGAATAATTAAATCTACACGTCAGTTATCAAGATCCTGAAATGTTCCCTGCAAGAACAAACTGCCTCTGACCAGACTCACTCAAATTCACTCCTTATCTGCTAAGTGAAAAGCCACTCTACTCATCCAATCACTGTGAGGACAAAATGAGAGGGTATAAAACATAAGACAGCAGGAAGTGCTCAATAGAAGGTAAGTGCTCTTAATGTGTTGTACTAATGTTAGGGCTTGGTGAGAAGCCTCTCAATTTTAATTTTCCAATGGAAGAAAGGAAAAGCTTAGTGGGTTTTGTAGTGTTTGTTCAGTTATTTGGACCTCCCAGGCCACACTAACCTTTCAAAAACAACTTGGGAGACATACATAGAGCTGTCAAACCTTTCTTTCTAAACTGGGTGTTACTACAAATTTACCATTACTATTGTGTTACTACAAATTTACCATTACTATTGTTCTATAAAAGAAACATCATTTAAAATACTTCCTTAAAAAGTAAAATATAGTCTCAGAGTAAAGGAAATAATTTCCAAAAAAGAACAGTTGGCAATCACTTGCCAAAATTATCCTTATTTTTCCCATTTTGTATCAGTAAATACTTTTGGATCAACACTGCACTAGCAAACTGGCATTTGATGAAAGACACTACACCTAACTTCTTATCTTGATTCTTCATCTGTGAGAAAAGCTATTCTAACTACCTCATTGGGATAGCCATTCAACAAATATTAAAAACTTATTGTACTATTAAGCAGAGGAATTTAGAATCAAATTAAGTCAACTGTATGAAAATGCTATCCACGGGGCTTTGTATGTATAATGTGAGCATGATAATAATATATTACAAAATATACAAATAAATTATTGCAATTGACTCCTAAAAGATCACTCACCCACATGTTTTAATGACTCAGTCATTTTCTATATTCATGGCATTCAGAAGTCCTTAGAACAAGGGCTCAGTGGTAGAGGGATTGCCTAGCATACATGAGGTCCCAGGCTCCCATACTGGGGGAAAATCCTTAGAATGAACACTTTTTACATGTTTTCTTTAGGATATATTTATGATTGCGATGTAACTTGACTCTGCCATTCTGTCTTACAGGAACTGTTGTTAACTATTTCCTCAGATGGTTATAGCTCCCAAAGGAGTTATTAAACTAGAAACTACTGTTATTATCTATCAATATGTAGACTCTAGATACTAAGCAAGACAATGTGACAGAATCTAAAAGGTAGATTCAGATACAGAGAAAGTTTCTGTTTTTGAAACAGTTATAAAATTTTTTAGTATTAAAATTCACCTTCAAGCCGAGCATGGTGGTGCACGCCTGTAATCCCAGCACTCGAGGGGCTGAGGCAGGAGGATCACCGCTAGTTTGAGGCCAGCCTGGGCTACTTTGTGAGTTCAGGGCCAGCCTGAACTACATAGTGGGACCCTGTCTCAAAAAACAAAACAAAAAATAAAATAAAAATCACTTTCAAGTATAACAGTCAAGAAATCACAAGACACCAAGCATAGAAATTATGCCGTTTTATACTTTTCTCTGCTGTCTCTTAATCCATTCAAATAAACTTCACAATTCAACACTTTTAGTCAGCTTCTTTATTTGCTTCAATTTCTACTTTAGGCAATAATGGATCGATCTTTAAAAGTAAACCTTCACTTGTTGAACTACGAAGGAAAGCACGTACCACAAAGGGACCTGGAAACAAAGAGAGAAATCAGATTTGACATTATTGCACAGATTGCTGAGAAGCAAATATAAAAACATACAATAGGAAATGATAGGATTCATATTTTCATTTGTCAAAAGTAGTATATCGCCAAATATTTTAAATCATAAGGAGATATAGTTTCATTTCTAGAGTAGGAGTAGCTATACTATAGATTTATCCTTGAAACTACACACTCACTAATAATTCATTTCTTTCTTCTACACGATGATCACCTGGAATTCATTTTATTGCAAAGTCAACAGTGAAGTGAGCAGGTGGTGATATTACATTTGATGGAAATACTCTAAATATATATTTTAAACAGCACAGATGCTAACTTTGTGTCACCAAACTGTAAAATTCTCTAAAAAATTTTAAAAGCTTTCAAAGGAACAATGCCAACAAGCTTCATTTGAAGAGAATAACCACACTGCTTAGGAGATTCACTGTATACCAATTCATTCATACTATAGTCTCAGAGGATCCTACACTGAAATCAAAGCTCTTCATGAAATGTAAGAATTCATGCACATATAATGACCCAGAATGACAGCCATATTTAGGGCAAAAGAATTAAAAACTGAGGTATTTAATTATCAACATGCTTAACTCCCTTACGAGGTAAAATATAGCTTAATATTGATTTTTATTACCATAGCTATAAAACTAAACCAGACAAATTTCTCTCGTGGTAACCCTGTAAGTGAATAGTCAGCTAAGTATAGTGGACCCTTAAGTGGCTTCAACCATCACAAGCGCAGTTCAAGGACGGAATGTGAATGGCACATAGCAAAGATGCTGGATGAGCCTGGGTCCTACCCTGCTACAGTCCCCACATCTTGATCAACTTCAGTGATTCTCTGTGAATCAACCCATTTTAAAAAAGTGTCTCTCATGACATGAGAAAAAATGACTGTCTTTCTTTTCTAAAATAAATAAAGTGAACTGCTAGTGTCAGGGACAAAGTGAAAAATGTGGCTTCAAAATGGCATTTCAGCCGGGTGTGCTGGTGCATGCCTGTAATCCCAGCACTTGGGAGGCTGAGGCAGGAGGATCGCTGTGAGTTCAAGACCAGCCTGGGCTACATAGTGAGTTCCAGTCAGTCTCAACTACATTGTGAGACCCTGTCTCAAAAAATAAAAACAAAACAAAAAAGGCATTTCATAAATGATTTTATACCATTGTAAGTTCCTACTTAATACCACTCTTAGATTAAAGCCATCAGGTCCCTCTCCCAACATTGTTACATTTAATGGTAGAAATAATGTAGGCATTTATGAACATTTCAGGATATATTCCTTTTATTAATGATAAAATCCCTCTCTAAACACTGTAACTCATTAATAAGATAATGAGGAATCCTTTGGAGAATTAAATTTTCTCTATTTAGATGTTAGAAATAGTTACTTTGTATTTTCATGTTAACTTGTTTCCTTAGTATTTTATCTTTTTAAAAGTATCACAGGGCTGTAGGGAAGTCTACCCTCAGCATACCACTTACCCAGATTCAGTGGTCTGTGCCTGCAAACTTCATTAATTACTGTCTGGAGATTAGTCGCTATCTGGTCACTTGACATATCCAACTGAAAGAAAAGGATTTATATAACATTAGCAAAGGAAAAGGGGGAAAAAATGAGAATTTGAATAACATACTAGTATTTATTCTAGAATCTAGATGGTGTTCTTCAAATATTCACTTGGGATGTAGCCCAGTGGTAGGACACTTGTCTAGCAAGCCCAGAGCCCTGTGTTCGATCCTTAGTGCTGCAAGAATAAGATTAAACATTCACCAAATGTTATTACCTACTATGAGATCCTACTATGAATGGAGAGAAACAAAACAAAACAAAGAAAACCTCTATAACTCTTCCTTTAGAATGCTGTATTTTACACCAGGCCTGGTGGCGGACACCTGTAGTTCCTGCTATTTGGGAGGCCAGTGTAGGAGGATTAAAAGTACAAGGCCAGCCTAGGCAACTTGCCAAGACCCTGTCTCAAAATAAAGTTTTAAAAAAGGACTAGGAATGTCTCTCAGTGATAAAGCACATGCCTAGCACATGTGAGGCTGTGGGTTCAATCCCCAGTAAAACACACGCACACACGTGCACGCACACACACGGTTATGTTTATGTCTCTTTATACATTAAGATTTAACTGCCATATAGAACATACTATAGCCAAGTGTTCTGAAGTTATTCCACTTGAGGGCCCTTGATTTCCAAGTAGTTTCTCCAAGTCATATTTTGTTTTTTTTACTTTTATGTTTGTTTGTTTGGTACTGGGGATCAAACTCTGGTCCTTGTGCTTGCAAAGCAGGCAGCGGAACCACTGAGCTAAATCCCTGGCCCCTCCAAGTCATATTTTGAATGCACATATCATTCCCACCCCCAAGGAATTAGCAATATATTCTCTTAAAGTTATTTGTTGATTTACTTACAAACATTTAAGAAGTAATGCTTTCATGCATCCAAAATAAAACTATTTGACCAGATGCATATAGATGATACATATTTCACAGAGACATTTTCAGGATGCTGTGCTAACATTCTAATTTTTCAACACTCTAAGCAACACCAATTATCTTCTGATTTAGCAAAAAATAGTGCATGTAGTAAATGAGTTCTATTCATAACCATCCCTCAACTTAATAGTACTCTTGAAGAGTCTTCATGAGTATTAATCAAAATCAATGAGTCTTTATTCTTTTTTTTTTCAAGGTCTCATTTTGCAGTTCAGGCACTCCTTGAGCTCACTATGTAGTCCGGGCAGCCTCAAACGCATAGTGATCCACCTGCCTCAGCCCTCCCAGTGGTGGGATTACAGCTGTGCACCACCATGCCTGGCAATGAGCTTTTAATTCTTAAATACACCAGGTAAACTCAATTATATTAAACTCTTTAGAGAATTTTGCATTATGCCACATAAATTAATTCCTAATGATTCATAAAAGTCTCTAATAACATAACTGGCAAAAAAAAAAATCATACAGAAAACGTTCAAGTCCAAGCAAGATTCCCAATTTCCAATGATTTTGAAACCACTGTAAGAAATGTGCTACATAAACATAAAAAGAATTCCTCCTTAAAAAGATTACCCTCTCATCATAATCAAACAACCCTTATTTGACACTCACTAAATGAGAAAGTCAGGACATTACTGGAAAATTCTCACTTTATGCCAATTAGCAAGGAGTTCTGAGAGGAAAACCAAAAAATCAAAGCAATGCTTAGTTCATTTGATTAAGTCCACAGACCTTGTAGACTTTAATTTGCAATAAAGCAAGTAGTTTGCTTGGCAGAGAAGGCACCATACATATTTTATGTTTAAAAGAGAAAAAGCCAAAGGCATCCTTGTCCCCTTTTAGAATTCTCTTTACCTCAAACTGTCCTTTTTTCTATTGCCAACTGATGTGACCATCACAGTTTCAATAAGTTTCCTTGGCCTTTGCTAAAGAGCTCCAGCAGGGTTGGGGATAGAGCTCAGGGCTACAGTGCTTGCCTAGCTCATGCCATGACCTGGGTTCAATGCCCAGTCAGGGCAGGGGGTATTGGAGAAATGTTAAATTTGGAAAGTAATAGAAAATTTTTTTAAATGTCCACTTATATATTTTTAAAAATTATGTTATACTACATATATTAAATGTCTCAGATTTTTAAAACTGTACTTTCTGTGGCCTTATACTGCCACTCCTACAGTAAGCCAAATATAACATATGCTTCAGAAATGTGAAACAATTACATCCTCTTTGGGGTTCCCATAAGCTCTGCCTCTGAGCTGTATTTGTAGCCCCTTGATTTAAGTTGTAAAAAATACAAAAATGTTTTTAAAACAGTGCATATTTAGTCAAAAAATTAACACCTCTAATCTTTGTGCCCTCTACTGAATTTTAAGATGTATTTTTCTTCCTCATTGCGTTTATTGGTACATTTTAGGTATACAGTGCAGTTACATTCACTATTGGGATCTTGTACCTTTACATGACAGGTCTTGGTTCTCATTTTTTCCCCTTGTCCCTGCCCTCCCTTCACCCCCTTCTCCCCTCCCCATTTACAAACACTTCATTTCCATTTTTTCATTTTCTCATATTTTTTTCTTTTCCCTTATTAGCTTTTCCCTACCCATCCCACTTTCCCTAAACCTTTAGCCCTTTTCTTCCTGTTTCACATTGTCCATTATATCATTAGGATCTTATATGCTATTATAGTTTATTCACATCAGAGAAACTATTCAGTTAAGATGTATTTATAACCAAATTACTTTACTTTTTCTTTTAAGTATTGTGCAAAATTATGGGAAAGTTACATATTTATGGAATTACCTTATTTAGTTGGCTACTGGTGATAATCAGTACTGATCATTATGTATAAAAATAACACGCATATGTATGCTTCGATTTTATCAAAACTTGCACAGGAAATTTATTTGGGCTGAGCACACTCCAGAAAAAACACTTGCCAGCTTCTCTCCCTGTGTCTCAGTCATTCTGCACTTTGGATCATGCTTTCCTACGGAGTAACATTTTGTGGTCTTATGAAAGCTGGAATGACTTTTTCTGAGGAGAGGATATTATCTGTTAGGTTCTCAATAGCAGTATATATGATCTGGCACAGAAGGAAAAAAAAAATAAAACAAAGCAAGGATTGGATTGACCTGAACTTCCTAAGTGAACTCTGCTAAATACTGCATTGGAATATACACTCACCAATACTACTTATGTTTGGCTAAAGTGATTGTCTACTACAGTGTAAAATATTTATTTTCCTCATCCAGTAGCACAGGTGCTTTCAAGAAAAGACTGCTTTATACTGAATCCTATATTCTGCTTAATATCCCAAATGGAAGATTTTCCCAAAGATGTCAGGATAGTAACAGTGGATACAGGTGTGCTATGCCTCTATATTTTTGCTTTCACTCACCAGTTAACTCCTTGCCATGCAATTCTTAACCTCTGTCTTTACTAACATTTTCAGCATTATGAGAAAGTTAAAAATCAGCCACCATTTCTGCCCCTTTGAGATGCATATTGTTTTATCTCAGAGCAAAATGTAGTCACAAACATGTCTAAGTCATTAATTTTTAAACCTTTATTAGGCCATTAAAACTTCCTCCAGAAAAATGCACACAAGCAGATCAAAAAATTAGCCTATACTTTCAGAATCTACACAGATTCTATGACTTAATACAAAGGTGAAGAGAAAAGAACGTCTCCTGGGGAAAGTGTCTCGGTTAAAAAGAATTCCTGGACCACACTTTGAGAACCACCATTACAGGGGTAAGTTGTAAAATTGTTCAAATAATTTGGAGGACTATGGATTACAGTGTTTTTTAAGTACTTACATTTTACAGAGGACAGAACTAAAAATAATGACAAAAATTAAAAAGAGCATATTAATGACTTTTAACCAAGTCATGCTTCTTTTAAAGTGACAGCTTCCATTACTATAATGTTCTGATAGCCTTTAGATGACCAATCCTCCCTCACTGGAAAACTCTTCCTGTGAACAAGCACTTGTTCATCCACTCGGCCTCCAAAACCCCTCCCATATTCAACATTCTAAGATTATATAAAGCATAGTCTAGCGATTTCTGAATATGGGCCAATACTCTAAACCCCTTGACTCCCAATAATTTAACTCAAAGAAGGGAAGATAATCTGCATTTTTCCTACAGAACACTAAGTAGCAGTAATAATAATTGATTGTCCAATTCCATTTATTGGGTACTTATTTTTAAGTCAAGCTCTGGTCTAACATATAAATAAATAGTCATTTCTCCAAGAACTCCATGAGCTCAGTATTATTATTAACCTTCACTTATAGTTAGGAATGGAGGCCTAGAAAAAAACTTCATCTTATATGTACAGTGAGAAGTGGCCCATTAGCTATGTGTGTGGCTCTCAAGACAGAAGAACATCAATGTGAACTCTTCTTCCACCAATCACTAGTTTGTGACCCTGGGCACAGCTATGACATGTTGCTGATTCATGAAAAACAAATGCAGTTGTCTGAAAAACAAGAAATTTTTGTGAACTAGATAAGAAAAATAAACTACGTGAGACAATGAAAGGAAAAGAATACTCAAGGTGAATTTTTCTTTCTGTCAATCAATCTTTTATTTTTAGTGTTAACACCAATATAATTTAGCAAATTTAGTCTCCACTTTTTGTCAAGCAACATGATAGGAATTAAAATCAGAAAGATGAGTAAGATGCCAACCTTGACCTCAAGGAACTTACAGCCTACTTTAAAATACAACATGACAGGTGTCACTCTAGGTAGATGAGCAACTGCTACAAGGGCACAGAGGAAGATGTGATGGACTCTGACAGAGAGAGTTTCATAAAGAATGTGATAATTAAGCTGGGTCTTAAAAGATGAAGTGTTTAAAAGACAGAGCATTTTCTGGGCAGAGGGACCAGCATGAGGTCAGGTGAAAACAAGGTGGATGGGGTGAGTATGAAGCAGCTCTGTATCTAGAGAGATGCATAACTCAAGAGAATGGGGTCTAAGAGCACATACAGATACTATCTGCATGACATGGTCTGAGCAGAGGAGGAGGGCAACATGTCTGTGTGGGAGAGGCA